CTGCACCACGGTTGCTCGATATATAACCTACTTTAAATCTGGCTAAAACAATTATTTTTAAATATCAAATATTTATATAGAGCAGTTACCAACCTACCAATTTAGTTATGGTTTTAGTTATTATAGAACAAAAAAAAAATATTTAATAAAATATACATATACATATAAGTTTTTTGTATTATTTCTTGATATAGATCGAAGGGCATTTGTTTTAACAATATGGAGGTAATTCCTCAAAATAAATTTTAAGTAAGTAGTTGTTTTAACGTTATGGAGGTATTTTATTTACATCCCGTAATTTGTAAGTAAATGAAACAAAACAGCACAACAAATATATATAGCTTAAAGATACACAAACCTTTTAAACCACAAAAAGTAAATTTGTTTTTAATCTATTTTGTTAATCAAATTATTTTGAATAGAGCAAAATTGATCGTTAAAACAAAAAAAAGTTTCAAAATTTCAGGAAAACTTTTTTCAGAAGTCTGTGAAGTAAGAACTTTTAAGTAAAAAAATGCAAAAATGCCTAGTTTAGCAAGAAATCAAGATAAAACCGAAAAGACTTTTATGAAAAAAAACTTTTTGCAGCCGTGGCGCAGTGGTAGCGTACTTGCCTCAGAAACGTAAGATCCGTGGTTCAAACCCCACCTCTGGGCAAGTTTTGCGACATCGGTTGGGAAGGAGGCGTGAACTTTCTATTAAATGCTCTTCCGCGGTGCTTTGTGATAAGACCGTAAGGACTTCTTGGGGCAACTAAAATCAAGATAAAAAAAAAAGACAAATAGACATCTCACAACCTTTTTGGAGGAAATGTTTCAAATTGTCTATGGCCAAAAAATCAAATTTTATGACATAAGTGTTCTCCAAGGTATTAGTGAAACACATAGAACTCCTTTGAGAACGCGCTATGAAGGTCATCAAGTTGAACTGTTACAGCTTTATCAGTTTGAAAAGATTTATGTTAAAATACTCACAAGAGGAAATTATTGTGAATGCTTGGTTTTCTGTATTGGCTGTTTGAAATTGGAAGAAAAGTACCCTTTTGAAACTGAAAAAAAAAAAAAAAATGTCTGACAGAAGGTGCTCTAAATGTTTCTCTGATTGATAGAAGGCTACCACATCAGTGCTCAGTTGCGCAGTTTAGAGAAGAAGTTTTTCCTCATGGAACCATTTGATTTCAAGAAGCCAAAGGTCGACAAACATTCCCTTTAACTCAATGTAACAAAATATGCTAATCTTATTAGAGAAAACAACTTTTCAGGGAAAAATCAGTTGTAACAACTATAGATCTTGCTCAGGTATAAATAATTTCAGGCTTGTCCAACAATGTGATCAGAAAGCTAGCGCAAACAATCAACAATGTTAGCACAACCAAAGTTTTGGAGCCATAAATAGTTAAAAAATTTCAAGAATTTGGAAAAAATCTTGAAGACAGTTTCACTCAAATATCAATGTCATTTACAAACTCCGAAAATCATTCTCAAGCTACACATTGTAACACATTGTTACACATTGTAAGAGCCTCAACTCCCTAGCTCAGATTTACTTCGTGACATCATCGTTAAGTTGGGGATTAAAGGAGTGGAGGATTTTTAAAAGTCTGTCTTTAAAAGTCTTGGAGTTTCTGAATTGGAACCAGAGCACAATAATTGTTACCAGCAAACGCTTGCTTACGTCCCAAACATCAAAAGATACTGGTGTTAAAAACAACTTCTTGTGGTTGTGGCTGAAGGCGTTTAAAAAAATTACACAAATATATTTGTGTAATTTTCTCAAACACCACCATTCTTCCCCTTTTTGACATCCAGAAGTTGAAACTCGTAATCTATTGTGATATGAAATTGGCTAAGACTCTATGTGACCAGCAGGACCATAATTCTTCTAATTCATGCACATTAGAGTTATGAAAAAAAAATTTTTTTTTGGCCTGTAGTAGGAATAAATGAAATTTTTAATACTGATTAAGAAAATTTTATTTATTTTGTTTAATTTATAAAAAAGTTCCTGCACCAAAACACCATATGATGTCTTATGCCTTATAATACTAAAAATATTTCTAAAACTTTTAAATAAAAACCAATTTTTTTAAAATTTATAGCAATAAAACTAACATTTTTTAACAAAAATTGGAAAAAAGCCCTTTTTAAGACGTTTATAAACAAAATCTTCTTTAAGAAGGTCACATTTGATAAAATTTTTTTTTTGTAAAATCTTTCTAAAGTTTCACTTCTTTTGAAGCCCAGCATGATATAATTTGAAAGAAAATCCTTTATGGTAAAGTATAACACGTACTATATTTTTGGACGACTTCGTGCAAAAAAATTTTTTTAAATTAGTTCTAATAATAATTTAAAAATAATCTGGTCACAAAAGACCAGATTATTTATTAATAATCTAGTCACATTATTTGTGACACAAAATTTTGCAAAAATATTTTCAGTCATAACTCTAGTGCACATGGTGTACAACTGAAAGTTGAAACCTTGCAAACTGTGGTACTTCAAGAACTTTTGAAGGACGTTTTTTTATTTAAAACTGTCAACCCATGTCTTCTCTACAGCAGGTTCAAATATCAAAAATGCCAAGAAGTTTGGAAATATCATTCATGAGTTTATTCTTTTACTTGTAAATTCTGCTTTGGTAATAGGTCTTACACCACCAAAAAAGAATTTTTTATTTGGTATCGTAAATCATCTTTTTCAGATTTTCAAATATGTATGGCAAAAGCTGACGATTGAATTTAAGTTTTACACCTAAAGCAACAGCCCTTTTATGAGGTAATTTTTTCCATAACTGAAACCTTGCTAATGTTGTATCTTTTTGTTTTAGCAAACAAATTGCATTTTGATTGAAAAAAAAAAATTGTTTGTTAAAAAAGAAAAAAAATTGATGATTTCAGATTCTTTTTAATCTCTGCCGATTGGAAATGTCACACCTAAGGTTTATACAGTATTTTTTTTATGTCAAAGACTTTGTCCGACAGAAAAAGATTTAGCTCAATATTTACAGCAAACAGAAACATGTACCGTTGGTTTAAATTTTTTTTTTTTTTTTGTAGTTGTTTAGGTTCTCTCAGAAGTCCTTACGGTCTTATCACAGAGTACTGCGGAAGAGCATTTAACAGGAAGTTAATGCCTCCTTCCGTAACAATGTTACTTGTTAGGCTAGGGCTGGCGTCGAACCTCGGATCTCTGGGATTTGAGCTAGAACTCTAACCACTGCGCCACGGCTGCTTCACACTGGAAAAGATAAAAATTCAAAAAACACTTGAAAAGTTCAAAACCTACTTCTGCTACATTCTACATACTAACTTGGTATTTTTTATTCCACAGCAAATTCACAGATTTAGTGTCTCTTTATCAAAGCTAAAATATCACTTTCTATGCTACTTTACACCTTGCAACAACCATGTTCGTTCTTAGTATCAGTTCAAGCATTGCTTTAACTTGAGTGGTTTCTTGCAAATTAGCTAGAGTAGAAACACCTAACAACTTATCTTTCTGTGTTTTTCTTGTATTCAGAAACTTATCTTTCTTGTATTCAGAGTATTTCATTGGGATCTCGGATCTTATCTTTTAAAGATTACCATCCTAATGTAAAACATTATTTTTAAAGGGTTTTATTTCGTTGTCTCCCTGACACGGAGACAGTGAAATAGAACTCGCTTAATTTCGTCCGCATTTTAATACGGATTAACGGAACTAAGGGTGGAATGCAAGAAGCAAACTTGAGTTAAGTTCGACTTGAACTTTACTTTGTTTCCAATAGCGGCAGAGTATTTTCGAGGGGAAAACCCATACTCTGTCGCTATTGGTTGCAATGTAAAGTTCAAGTCGAGCTCGCTTCTTGCATTCCACCGTAAACCTATAAAATCTAGATGTAAAAACAAAAAAAGCATATTACGGCATGTTTAAATAAGCTCCTCCAGTTTTGGGTTGTTATGATATTTAATGTCGTATAGCAAAAAAAGTTACATTGCCGTAAACATATAGGGCTATGGCCCTTACCGCCTCCCCCACCCTACACACATATGTAAAGTTAGTCATTATTGTAGTAACATTAATTTGTTTTTCATGATATACTTCAATGAATATGTCTTTAAAACGAAAGTTGCCTGGTGCGGAATGGAACCGTCTTAAATGACTAAAGGAAAGATTGAAAGGGGTCGATACAAATTGGACTATTACTTTTTTTTTTATACAAGAACTGTTGTCTAATTAACTTCACTTAGCACTGCCTCTACTTTTTAAAATACATCTTATGGTAGCTCTGTAACTGCCGCTACTACTGCATTTTTATTAGACACTACTTCAACATCTAGCGGTTTGACAATACTTTTATCTCTTGCTAATCCTGTCGCTACTGCTACTAATTCTTCTTCTGTTGGCTCTACGTCTACTGTTACTTCGGCAATCACGAGTTTGCTTAAATGTTTTATAAGGTCTCATACCATATAAAACTTGTTTTCAAAACCAAACTTTGTTTACTTTCATAAGCATTCCGCGTCACGAACGCATTTGAAAATATTATATTTGAAGGGGGATTAGCTTCTTCTTTCAACTTCTGTGGTTGTTTATTATTTTTATAAATAATAAATAACTACAGGAACATAGTAATTGGTACTACCAATCTGTTGAGTAACTTAACTTATATAGAAATTTTCGAAATACTATTCGATTTATATTATCGCATTTATTATATTTAAGCGATTTGCAATCCATGTACAACGTACCCATGCACGCGGCCAAAGATCTATGTGATCTTCTAGATAAACGTTTGAATGTGAGCAATACAGTTAGGAATACAGGATATTTGACACTATAAAATAAATTTATGGAACTCCTAAAAACATGCTATATTACTCTATACATAAGAGATACGTATTAATACAGAATCTTAAAAAGTTTTATCATTAAGAGACATTTTTGTTGCGCAGATTGCTTCCGCCCTCGTATTCATACCCCCTCCCCCACCACCAGTTTAAATGTTGTTCACGTCCATGAGTTATACTTACATAATAATTTATGTTCCATTTTTTGTAATTTTAAGGTGACACGGGAACTTGTTTGATAAATTCAAAAAAAAGTTCACTCTCCTATAACAGAAAGTTTGTCCTACCTGATTAAAAGTCTTAAAAGAAAAAAAAAAGAAAATTAAACAAAATTCGCGCGACAACCCAATTTTGTCCACGAGATATTATTATTCGCACAATTTATTTTCAGATTCTTTTATTTATTTTTGAGTATTTTCAAGATGAGTCAACGTCAGGATCCAAGTGATTTTCTAAAGCAAATTATTGGACGTCCAGTCGTAGTAAAGTTGAATTCTGGAGTTGATTACAGAGGTATTTTATTGATTGATAATGGTAGTAAATTATAATAGATTTTAGTTATTTTTGCAATTTTCCGTAAATTAAAAAAAAAAAAAAATTATTGTTAACCCAAAGACACATGGTTTCGTGAATAATAAATAGTTCAATCAGTTGAATAAATTTGTGATAAATCTTGTTTTAAATCATATCTATTTAAGTTATTTATCACTTCAAATTTTAAGTATACTTTGCAAAGTTTACTAACAAAGGGTTATTCCATATGAAATTACCTAATTTGTAAAAAATGCCCCAGAGTACCACCTCAAATTTGCTTCAAATTTTGACCACCCACAGATTTTATGAAAAAAACACAATCCTGAAAATTTCAGTTTGATTGGCTAAATCGTTCAAAAGTTATGATCAAATCAATATTGACCAAAATTAGAATAGTTTTAGTATCTGGAGCTTATAGTTGATTTTTTTGATTTTTGACAGACCATAACTTCATAAATAAAATAGGTGATTAAAAAATTTGTACAGTAATAGTTTTTTTTTTTTGAATACATAAAACATTAAATTGAAATGTTTTTTCAATTAACTATCAAGAGTTAAATAAAGTAACTTAACTTTTTCTTCCTTCAAACTTATAATTTAAACTTAAACTGTTATTTACCAAATATCTTTATTGTTTTAGTTCTTATATATTATTATATATACAATATTGTTTTGTAAAATGTTTTATATATAATCTCTTATTTATTAAATTAAAGAATTGCCTCCGGTTTTCCTACCTCTTTAATTTTTACATTACCTTAATATTCTCATTAAAGATTTAATTATTGTGCAAAGAAGACTTTTAAATAAATCTATTTTAATTTCTTCAAATACTTTTTTCATGAAAAAATATCCTATTATTGAATGGTTAGTTGTACGCCAATCAGTGACTTGTTACTTTTTCTTTTTCAGCATCAAAACAATTTTGAAAAATCAACAAAACATAGAAATGGAATAATTTGTTAAGTGCTTGTCCTTGTGCAGAATTAATCTCCAATGAATTTAGTGTTGCCATCATTAATGATAGTGCAAATTGAACTTTATAAAATGTTGTTAATTAAGGAAGCGTTGTATAGTAATCATTACATAAAAGTAACAATTTTGATTAACTCCCTAAAAACTTTAATGCAAACACTTTTTTAATCCATTTTAGGACTCCCAAAATTGTGGGGCTCTAGGTTGCAGCATAGTTGGCCTATAGGTAAATCCAGTCTTGCTAATAATATTAATAATGTTTTTGGACCTTGTCTAAAAGGAAGAGGGCGTCATTAGAAGAATTAGTCCAAATATGACAACAATAATCTGTACAAAATAGATATTTACAGAAGTAAAAAATGGAATAAAGGGTAAGAAAATGATGAACATAAAAGCAGGCATCAACGGGAAGTGAGAGCTTTGGCTCGGTTTACAGGAGCAATTTATGGCTTTTGCAAAAGTATAATTTTTTCCTACAAAAGTATAATTATTGTTGCAATTAAAATAAAAACACAAAGTCATTTTTATAAAAAAAATAATTAATTGCACAATAAACTGCATAACCATGCTTAACATGCATTAATTATGCTTGATAAACATGGATATAATGAAACTCTGATCTCTATGAATATTTCATAGACTGTATTTAGAATGGCCTCTTAATAGATTCAACATGGCATTGAATCTCGAGGAGCATAAATAAATAATAAATAACAATAAACTGCAATGCTTTTTAAAAGACACGGTTGTTGTACAAAAAAAAAAGAGCGTGGATTCAAATTTTGACTAGATTATACTATTTGATAAATATAAAATTACAGTCTAAATTATATTGATATAATATAAAATTATTTAACTGATAAAAAATAAAATTGTTACAGTCTAAATTAATTGTCTAAAAATTTTTATTTTATGTTATGAATTATATATTTTATATATTAATTACTTTAATATATCATTTACTTTTATTGTAGAACTTTTAATTGTAATGATTTTTAAAATGCTCGCATTCTATTACAATAAGAGCTCTTTGTCATATTTTTATCAAATAAGTAATGTTGTTAATAAATAAATGGATAGCTAGTATGAAAACACAAAGACAATGCTCGTCTAAAGAATATTTACACAACACAATAAATCACGCATGTTATGTATATATTCTTGTAACATAAACTTTACCAACATATGCTTGTAACAAGTATAAAACAAATTTTTTTAATTAAAAAACAATCTTTTTAATGAATAAACAGATAGCTTGGGCTAAAACCAAAAGCTCTCTTGCACTCATTTACTCCCGCCAAGGCCTGTAATAGTAAGGCAACCTTAGCAGATTCTAACTTTACAATGGACTGTAATCATGATTTCCACGATAGGTTAGTTATGAATATAATTTGAAAAGACCTAAGTAGCGTCCTCTTTAAATATGTTGCTATTCATCAACATAGGAATATCAGTTAGATTGCAATAATTGTTAGCAATAAACAAGTAAGTTTTGTTTGAATTTAAATTCACCAGCCACTGTAAATCTTAAGCTGCCACTAAGTAGAGATAAGATGCAAGATTGGCTGCTTGTTATAAGCCATCAAAAAGTCATGATCGTTTGTCCAGATTGGTGTATACAGTTGTGTCATTGGCAAATAGATCTTAGATTTTAGAGGGAAGATTATCAGGAAGATTATTAATATAGGTGAAGAACTGCACCAAAGATGGAACCTTTTTTTGTTTCCCAGAAATTACTTAAAGAAATGAAGTGTTTAGAAATAGAATGAGAGAATGGAAGTCCATATTGATTGTCAGCGAGTAAGTTGTAATCTCCATATGATTTATTAGATGTTTGTTATTTAAAAATGTAAAGTCTTTGCTAGTAATAATAAGAAGATTGGAGATTAATTTCAGAGTGATCTCTAGAGTTTTTAAAAGACTTTTTTAAAGAGATTTACAGATATACAGAGATTTTTAAAATTCAGAGCTAAAGATGCCATTTTCCAGCCAGCAGTAAAACATGTTTCAGAGATTTTTTATAACTTGTTCTAATTTATATCTATTATTCATCTCTATTTATAGAAGCAGTTAGTTACAAAAGCCATTACAGTCAAGGCCTGTAATGGCTTTTTTTTTAAGGATTTTTTCAAATTGTTACAACTTCTCAACCCTTCAGTTTAGAAATATTTTAAGTTCTTTACAAATAGTTCTGCTTTATTCTTGGGAGTAAATAAAATCAGAGAGAATAAAGATACCATTTACATCAGAGAGAAAAAAAAAAGACACCAGAGACCATCAAGAAAATCAAAAAGAGTCCCAGTCAGTCATAGGTTATTCAAATAGATTATATTGATAAGTAAATAATCAGGCAAAGCATAGAAATGTTAGAGTCTTTGAAAAAATAATAATTAGCCACCAACCATGAGATCAAAAGATAAAACAACCGAATTTAATTTATTCTTACAAATTGGTCTGGTTCCAAATTTTCCAATTTTGCAAGTGTCAAGATTTAACAGATGAAAAGTTTAAAGAACACCATTATTTGTAAGGTATAGATTAAAACCATTGGGTAGTAATGATAGTTTTTTCTGTTTAATATTTATAAGTTTTTTATTTGTGTCTTAGATTAATATAGATCTTGACTCAATCACAGATAGTGCATGACACCCTACACAATCAACTATGCAATTGCCTGATCCTCTGCAATCAGCTATGCAGTTGTCTACATTCCAGCTAATCAACCCAAAATTTTATGGCAGTGCTACTTTTTTGGTTTAGACAATACACACCAAATGTACTAATGGTGCAACTTATATTCAATATAAGTTGCCCCATAAGGCATAGTAATTACTTTATTTTTACAACTGTACATTAAATCAGCCTCATTGATAGCTACCACAGAATTTAAGATGCTAAACTACAAGTTGGTCTCAACAATTAAATTGAGTTTTAGAGCTCTACCTTCATTAGGAGATAACAAAAAGAGTTACAAAGCTATTATGGGTCTTCCAAAAGTACATTTTGTCAAAAGTTTTAAAATTTGACCCCTCCCCCTGTTGTCATGCATACTTTTAAGTCCCCCCTTCCCCTAAAATGTAAAAACACTTTTGAATTCCCCCACCCCTATCGCCCCACCCCCACCCCCTCTCCACTATTTTTTATATATTTTCTAATCAAAAAGGTTTTATATAAATATAGGATATGTATAAATAAGAGATATTTTTTAGACTAGAGCGTGCGCTTTAGGGTATGATAAACTTTAAGTATCTAAAAGGCTCCACCTCTTAGATACTTTAAACAACCCCAAAGGCCTTGTTTTCCATGCAAGAACCCAAATTTTAAAGACATATATCTTCATATATATATATATATATATATATATATATATATATATATATATATATATATATATATATACATATATATATATATATATATATATATATATATATATATATATATATATATATATATATATATATTATCATTGTAAAAAACTCAGCCTCAAGCCTTACTCAGGGCCAATATACAAGGGGTGACGTGTGTACATGGGGACACTATACCCTATACAATACATCCTTTTATGTTGGCAAACTAGGATCTTTAGTCAGGATTTTAACTTTTCTATTGGTTAGCTGTTCTTAACTTTTCTATTGGTTAGCTGGTTAATTGTGATAAATTAGTGATAAAATAAAGTACGTAGTTTTAAATTGAATCCTCCCCCCTCCCTATACGTTTTTGTCGGCTTTTTAAAGCCCCCCCCCCTCCTTACTTCTGTGAATGTATGTATTCTATTAAAGACCATTTATCTTGGAGGATCTAGTTTTAGTTAGATGAAGTTTTAGAAGATGAGATGAAACTACCTATTCAAATATTGGAGTGCCGCAAAAATTAGTGCTTTTTGCTTGTTTTTTACAAAGATAATATGTTAGTGGCTGTGGCTCAGTGGTTATAACATTTGCTTTATAAACAAGAGATCCAGGGTTCGAAGCAAGCTCTGGGCATATTTTGCGTCATCGTTAAAGTAGGTGAACCTTAAGGCATGAATTTCCTAGTTAAATGCTCTTCTGTGGTGCTCTGTGATAAGACCATTAGGTCTTCTTGGGGCATCTGAAGCAAAAATTAAAAAAAAAAGAATTTTTGTTGTTAACAATTTATATGCTGAAAACTGTACAAATATATTTTTTTCCTGAAATTTCATTTTGTTAACATAACTAGCATAATTAGTAGTGATGTACTGATATCACTTTTTTTTGATGCTATACCAATGCCGATACCGATGCCGATGGATGAGAAAAGGCCGATACCGATGCTGATACCGATGAATTAACTAATTATTAAAAATTTGAAAATATAAACCCATACAGCTTTAAATCGATACTGGTAAACAAATACTTGGACCCAAATCAAAGCCAAACAATTATTTATCAATCTTTGTTAATCAAGGTTTGTGTTTCCAAGTTATAAAATTGAGAGTGGGTTGTATCCATAACTAAAGAAGCCTCCTCAATTAAAGTGGCCTTCGTAGGCTCAGGGAGGTGAATTGAAATAAAAAAATAAAAAATATAGAAATATACTTGATACTGAGCTATGCTTAAATATATGAAATAAGGCTAAACTATTTGCTAAGAAATTCTCTTCCAATCTGATTCTCAAATCTTATGGCCTTTCTCTTCTTTAATTCTAATTAAACAGGTTAACCTATTGTTAGACATTCAAACTACTTCAGCTTCTATTGCTCATAGTCATATCTTGATTAAACTCTTCTACGGCTTGTGGTCCAGACAAAATTCCTTTCACTATCATACAAAATTGTTCTTCAGGACTCAATTTTCTCTAAACTATTTATTAAGTACTTGACTGATTCTTGTTTTCCTGCCTGCTGGAAAATGCCATCTGTTGGTTCTATTTTTTAAAAACTCTGGTAAACATACCGACCCCTCCAAATATTGTCCAATCAGTTTTCTTTCTGTTATTAGCAAAGTCTTTGAGTTTTTGGTAAACATATTTTTCACATTCCAACTTTAGTCAAATAACTTGCTGTCAGACAGCCAATACGTGCTGTGACTGAAAGATTTTATCATGTATTAGATGGAGGCTTAGAGGCTATTACTTTAGACATATCTGAGGCTTTTAACAAAGTTTGACATGTTGGTATTCTCTATAAGCTTGTTTCATATGGTGTATCTGGGAAATTTTTGAGATAATCAAATTGTTTTTTTTCTAACCGCCTTAATAAAGTCATCCTCGAAGGTCAACACTCTTCCTTATTTCTAGTAACTTCTGGGGTACCTCAAGGTTTTATCTTTGGTCTTGTTTTATTACTTATCTACATTAATGATCTTCCTGACAACCTCACATCTAAAGTAGACAGCCCATCTTGTATCTGATCTCACTTCTGTAACTGATTGGGGCTTACAGTGGCTTGTAAATTTAAATTCCAACAAAACTCAGTTATTTACCTCAAATAACTATTGCAGTACTGTTGACACTCCTATTTTAATGAATGGCAACCCTTTCACTGATTCCTCTTTATCTATTCTTGGTTTATAATTTACTACTGACATTTCATGAAAACCATATATACAATGGATTGCTAAATTAGCGTATGCTAAGCTTGCTTCTCTTTATCGTGCTCATCATTTTCTCTTTCCTGATTGCATTTTCTACCTCTACAAATTTCTTATTCGTCCCTGTATGAAATACTATTGTCATATTTGGGTTGGTTTTTATAAGAATGCTCTTTCTCTTCAAGATAAGGTCCAAAAACGCATTGTAAACAGAGTTTAACAAAGTCTATCTGCTAAGCTTGAGCCTTTTTCCCATAGTCGTAAAGGTGCATCTCCTTCTCTTTTTTATAAATACTATAATGGTTGCTGCTTAAAGGAGCTTTTATTTCTAGTTTCATCAACCAAAACTCATTCCTGCTTGACTTGTCATTTATCAAAGTCTCATTCTTTTACTGTATATGTCTCCTTATGCTCTAAATACATTTATTTGTCTAGCTTATTTCCCAGCACTTCACCCTTAGGAACTCTGTCCCACCTTCATGTTTTCCTGACTCATACAACCTTCAACTTTTTAAGTCTTCTGTCAACCGTTTCCTTGCTCTATAACTCTACTCTTTTTTTCTAGCAACTCCCAACTTGATTTTAGTTGCTTACAGCATTGTTGGGAGTAAAAAAGAATTAAAAAAATATAGATAACAATGCCTAATTTGGTTACTTTTAAAGCTTTTGCCTGTAAACAAAGTCAAAATAAAATTTTATCCAAAAAATTCTAAGTAATGTATAAAGTTTAGTTTATTTATTATTTAATTGTTATAATAATGCAGGATAAAAATATTAAAATGCCATTGGTTGGAAAATCAGTAAAAGTGGCCTATGCCGATACTGATTCTGATTGTGAAAAAAAAGGCTGATAAAGCCGATGCCGATTAATCGGTACATCACTAATAATTTTATCTGCTTTAATATTTAAAGTATTATATGGAGAATTTCTAGGGAAAAATATAAAAGAAAAATAATTGAGAAATCTATATATATATTTTTTTTGATGCTAAAAATCTCTGTGTAAGTTGTTTGTGTTGTTGCTTTGTTTAAAACAAATTCTTTTGGTAATTAGGCTATTTATTTAATGTCAGATCTCTTCAAATAGGTTTTAAGAGAAGTCATGATTTGTTTTTAAGAAAAGTCATGATCTTGTTTTTAAGAGGTCATGATCTCGTTTTTAAGAGAAGTCATGAACTTGTTTTTAAGAGAAGTAATGATCTTGTTTTTAGGTGTTCTAGGTAGTTTAGATGGTTATATGAACATTGTTCTTGAGCAAACTGAAGAGTATGTAAATGGACAGGTATAAATTATATGTTTAAATTTCTGCTTTTTTTATTCTAACATTGTTTTTCTTGCTTTATAAAATAATAGCAATCTAGGTTTTGATCTAGAGAATCATATCTTCTTTAGATCAAGCTGAGTGCTTGATCTAGAGAAGACCTGATTGTATAAATGTTTTTTCTTTTCTAAAAAATCAGAAACTTTATTAATTTCATGTTTTTGTTTTTCAGCATATATTGAAATTTCACTAGATTTAGTGCAATTCTGTATCACTTTTATATTTCTATATCAATTTCTATATTTATCTTAGTATTTTTTAAATTGGATCATGGTTTTTAGATATCTATATACCATAGTTTCACTGCATATTTTTTTGTAGCACCCATAAAACAAACTTGTGTAGTTAAGTTTTTGGTTGTGTTCTTATGTTTTTTCACATTTTTTGTTAATTCAAAACATTTTTCTAGTAATATGTTTATGCGTTTATATTTGTGTGTTTTAGTGCGTGTGCGTGCTAGTATATACATTTATTTGTGTTTATATTTTTATACAAACATTTTTATTGACAATGCAAATATTGTTATACATTTTTACGGGTCTTATGTTTACAGCTTTTTTTTTTCCCTCTGTACCTATGTTTTCTTTTTTTGTATTGTTTTTCAAATACAAATTTCCGATATTTTTACTTAAACTGTTTTGTTTATTTTGCATGTTTTTGTTCTCTTTTTTCTCTCACTATTTTTTATGTCATTCATCCCATTTCATTACATCATTATTCATTTTGTTATTTCATTAATTTTTTTTTTTTAATTTCTTTTTTTAATTATTTTTTTCTTATACTTTTATTTTCATTCATAAATACTTTATTTTCATGTTTTGCACTTTTTTAGTTTATATTTGGTAAATCATTTTTTAATGTCATTAAGTTTTTTTTTTTAAATTTTTGTTGTTGATTTTATTATTGCATTTTTTTCCTTTTTCTTTTGATGTAATAATACTAATAACTTATTGACAAAATTTTAACCCAGCATGTCTAATTCTTAAACTAATTCATCATATTTAATTCTAAAAGCTTTCAGAAATCCTTTCCTTTCTCATTGATGTAATTAATCATTGTAACCATTGTAAATAACCGTTTCCTAATTGGTTATTATCTACCAATAAGCTAATAATTCTAGTTTCATTTATCTGGTTCGTCTAACTACCATTTTATTAGTTTTCTTCCTATCATAAGCATGATTTTTGAGTCTTTAATTAACAAACACTTAATCTCTCATCTTTAATCTAATAACTTACTTTTTGATCATCAATATGGATTTTGGTCTTCTCGCTCTACTGCTGATTTGTTAACGATAATAACCGATAAGTTTTATTGTGCATTAGATAGAGGTGGAGAAGTTAAGGTTATTGCTTTCAACATTTCTAAAACCTTTGATAAAGTTTCGCATGCTGGTCTTCTCCATAAGCTTTCTTCTCCAAAAGCTCCATATGCTGGTCTTCTCAGGTAACATCTTTAAGATTATTGAATCCTTCCTTACCAACTGTAGTATAAAGGTTGTCCTTGATGGACAGTACTTTTTTTCATATCCTCCAATTTCAGCAGTTCCTCAAAGTTCTATACTTGGCCTTATACTCTTTTTAATTTACATTAACGAACTCCCAGAAATCCTCACATCTAATGTGGCATTGTTTGCTGATGGTACTACCATTTATTCTTGTTTTGATTAGCCAACAATCTCTGATTGCTTGCATAGGGCATTAGAGCTTGAAAGGGATCTCACTTCTGCTACAGCTTGGGGCTTTCAGTGGCTTTGTGAACTTTAACTCAGATAATACTCAATTTTTTTTTCAGCTAATCTTTATCGCAAGATCTTATGTTTATGTACACGATAAATCATCTACTCTTTGTCTTCTAGGATTAACTCTTACTTCCGATCTTTCTTGGAAACCATACATCAAATCAATTGCAAAGTTTGCATCTGTATGGAATACTGTTGTTATGTCTGGAGCGGACTCGAATGATGTCCTTTTTCTTTTAGACAAGGTACAAAAACCCATTGTAGATATAGTTGGGCCTGCTTTTGCAGCCAACCTCCAACCATTATCACATCGTAATGTTGCATCTCTTTCTCTTTTCTATAAATACTATAGTGGACACTGTTCTAAAGAGCTAGCGTCTCTTGTGTTATCTACTAAAATTTATTCTTGTGTTACTCGTCATTCAATCAAGTCTCATCCGTTTACTGTGACGGTTCCTAAAAGTTCCAAAAATTCTTATTTGTCTAACTTTTTCTTCGAACATCAGTTCTTTAGAATTCGCTTCCTTCAACATGTTTTCCAGATTCATATAATTTGCAATCTTTAAAGTCATCTGTTAATCGTTATCCTGCTCTATAAATTTTATCTTTTCTCTTCCAGTAAGTTTTAAATCTAATAGTGGTTGCTTGCAACGTTGTTGTTGTTGGAATTGAAAATGTTGGGAAAGAAAAAAAAAACTATTAATTTAAAGAATGACATAGTAGCTGAAAAAAATCCATGACTTCCGTATCTCTCTGATAGGAACAATGCCATAAAAATTTTTGCAAAAAGTTTTCAATGGGATAATAATTTAAATATTTAAATTGAAGCCTTTTAGTTTATTTTATATTGAAAAAATAAACAGATATGTGTTTACTAAATGGCATGTAAACAAAGTATGACTTCGTGCATTTGAATAGAACTTTTAATGTTTGAAAAAATATATAATTACTATTTATATTTTTTACTTTTAATTTACAAGTTACTATTAGATTTAAAACTTACTGGAAGAGAAAATATGAAATTTATAGAGCAGGATAACGATTAACAGATGACTTTAAAGATTGCAAACTATATGAATCAAGAAAACAAGTTGAAGGAAGCATTTGTTTAACCCAAAAATGAAATATTGTGCCATCCATAAACTTTTTTTTACCTATATTTTGATCATAACACAATTTCATCTCTTTTTTTTCGTTTCATAGTTTTCTGTTGCAATTGATTTATTATCGTCATTAAATCTTATATTGCATCATGACGTATTTACAAACATAAATATGGCAGATAAGATATGACGTATTTACAAACATAAATATGGCAGATAATATATGGTAACAAACTTATAAGGGTGGAGTTGGTATAAGTAAAAATTAACAAAGAGCGGCAATAAAAAATTGTATATGCGATAATAGTTTAAGCAACTTTTTAGTTTCTTAGCATATATAAATATTATTCTGCTGTCCTTCCGGTAGGTCCGGCATGTCTTAATAAATTAAATTACTAAGGTTAGGTTATAGTCAAGTTATTTTTTTTTAGTTAAAAAACAAATACGGTGATGCGTTTCTTCGTGGAAATAACGGTACCTTATTATTTTTAGTTACGGTTTATTTTATATATCAATTTTTACCGTTTTAATTTTTTTTAATACTATGTTTTTAGTTCTTTATATCAGCACGCGTAAACAGAAAGTCTAAATGTTGATTCCTCACACTTCAAATGGTTCTATATGAAGATTACTAAAAAATAACTTTTAAAGAAACCAACTACTTCGTTTTCGTTTTTCTTAGTAAATATATAACTTTAATTTATTTGGGTTTGTATTATAAAGAAGTCATTACAACCATTGTTATACAAAGGTGTTTGTTGTGCGACTCTCAGCGAACAGATTTTAAAAAATTGTTTTGAATTTTGACATTTAATATCAGAATCAAAACAAACAACCATAATGGACTAAGAAGTGGTTTAATGTTTAAATTTTCTAAAATCAAAGTATACAATACAATTCGATTTTGTTCAGTGATCCTCGCAACCTTAATTTTCAAATTTTCAAACTTATTGTATTTTGTATAGGAAAAAACCTTCAAACTTGATGAATTTTTATTTAAAATCAACTTGTTGAAACTAATAAATTAAACTTGTTTAAAAAGTTAATGGTAAAAATCTTTTTCAGAAAATATTAAATTTGCGAAGGAAACAAAATTTTGTTTGTTCTTCAGTTTCGTTTTTACCTAGTTACACGCCTGGTTACAGGAAAGTTGTCAAAATAAATAGTTGATCTATTTCGCTAGTTTGTCAGAAAGGCTTTCTACTTTTTCTGTAAATTTTTAAAAACAAATGTAAAGCTAATTTGGTATCAAGTAGAAACTTAAAATGTGTTAATAGCAACAGAATTTTTGACATGAAAATTCTTGTCTCCATATTTGAGAAACTTTGGTGTTGTCGTTCAGTGTGAGTATGTAAACATGGGCGCTCGCAGTATTTTTTGATGTTTCCGATAGGACACTTTTACAAATTGTGCAAACTCCAAACTTAAGTATGTTCATACCTTTGCCAAATGAGGAGACCTTGTAAAAATTTGGGATGACGGAGGCATGGGAACAAAAAAAGCCTTAAAACACTTGCCCTCCCCTCTGCCCAATCGTGAGGGCACTGATGTAATATATTTTTCAACTTTACTATCTTAAACGAAATTTAAATTTATCGACAGATAATTTCGTAGAAAAATTTTGTAAATTAATAAAGTTATGATTATGCAAATTTTCCGACATCCCCCAAAAGGATTGGGATATTAATTTTGCATGGTCATGACTCTTGCAATTTACAATATTTTTCTGCGAAATTTGAAATCTGTCGATAAATGCCAAATGAGGAGGACTTGCAAAATTTTTGCAAGCCCTCCTCATTTGGCATAGGTATGAACATACTTAAGTTTAGAGTTGCACAGTGTGTGAAAGTGTCCTATCTGAAACACAAAAAAACTTGCGGGCGCCCATGTATGTAAAGTCTTAAAAAGGATTTACAACAAATTAATGAATCATTAAAAGTTTTTGAAGTTTTGAAAATTATTCTAATTTAAAGTCGAGATAACATGACTAAAAAAATCTTTTGAAAAGAATATACCGTAACGTAAAGCGAATTAGAGGAAATTTAGACCTGCGATGTTTATCTGAATGTAATCTTTAATTAGAGTCTCTAAAGTTTTTTAAATTTGTTTTTGCATATTCATTTAGAGATCGTCCATAAATAACTCAACGCTAAATTTCACTAATAAACGAAACAAAAAAGACCTAAAGTTTTCCCATTTAGAACCATTTTAGAAAATTTTAGAAATGATTATATAAAAAAATCAAAACAGCGCATTAAGTTCACCTCGTAAAAGTGCTTAAGATTTCCTATTCTTGTATTTTGAATAAATTTAGCGTTGCGTAATTTATGGATGATCCCTTATCCAGTCTTTTAATCTATAGTTTTTTTTTTTAATGATTAAAAAAAGTATTTATAATATTACATACTTTTTAAATATAATATTAATTAATACTTTTTTGAAAAAATAAATTGTATAAAATGACAAAAAAAATCAATTTTTTGTTAAATATCGTTTTTCGATATATACGATTATATTTCGATATATACGAAAAATGCGTCGGATGAAGTCAACAACATTAAATTCACAGAAAAACATTAAAAGAAAACAATATATATATATATATATATATATATATATATATATATATATATATATATATATATATATATATATATATATATATATATATATATATATATATATATATATATTGTATATACAGGAATTATCTTTTTCCGGATATTTCCAGAATTCCGGATATTTTTTTCAACTAATAGTTTTTTCGGATATTCAAAACATTTTCAATACATGCAAGTTGAGGTATATATTTTTGTAATATATTTGTTTTTTAAGCTTTTTCACTCATCAATCATAAAAAAATTATGAAGTGTCAAAAAAAAGTAAAAGCAACTTAGCTAAAGGCGAAATTAAAAAGAAAATAAGGGAAAACGAATTCCGGATTTTTTCCGGATATTTTATTCAAACAATTTTCCGGATTTTTAAAATATGACTAGAATGATCTATGTATATAACAATGTGTTAAAACTTGTATCAGTTTTATGACTTTTTTTTTAAAAAATCTATTTTTTTTTCATGAAAAGCCATAAAACTGAGTAGCTTTGCCAGTCATTTTGATCTGTAATATCTATTTTGAAATTCACAATAATTACTTGGATCATGGCTTTACTTAGATAACCTTAACACAAACATCAAGGTTTCATTTACTATAACCTCATACAAAGTATATTTGATAACTTGTATCAGATGTTTATCAACTTTGAAAAACAAACTGCAAATTGTTTTTTGTTTTTGAACATGTAATACATAAATGGATATTAATGAATGTAAATGAGAGAAACACAGTTTTTCAAGATATACAGGAACATTTGCATGAAAAATTATTGATATAAAACATTTAATTCTGTTAAAATAGAAAATTTGTGAACACTTCAGCTCATTACTTATATAATGTAACATTATTATATATTCACATAGTTGTTTGAATATTATTATTATAACTCGTAAAATACTTTTTATTCATAGTAGTACCAGTCTTTACATTCCTGGAAGTCTTTCAATAATAAAACTGTTGTAATCAGCGCCAGCTTTTAGGGGGCGAGGTCGTGCGTTGCACGAGGGCGGCAAGTAAATAGGGGCGGAGAATTTTATTAGTCACAAGTTTTAATTTTCCAGTAGTATATTAAAAATTTAAAGTAAATTAAAGGATTTAACGACCTTTGCAAAAAAAAAAACACGATTTTAAATATGAAGACAAAAAATTACTACATTATCTTAATTAACTCACGATTTTCTATTGTAATTTGTAGTATCATTTGTGCGTTATTTCCCCTAGGGGTCATTTCGAAAAGTTGCAAAAAATTTTTTATAAAGAAGTTCAAAAGTTTTAGTTTTTTGTTATTAAATGTTAAGTTGACTCGATTTAAACAATTTTCAGTAAGTTTAGTTACTTTTTTTTTTATTTCTTTAATAATTTTATGAATGTGTTTTGAGAACTTTGTTAAATTTTTTTTTTTTTAAATTGTAGAAATAATTTTATTTTAAAAAATATTCTGTCTCATGTCACATAAAATTTCAAATTCGAGAAAAAAGTTGTCTGGTTATGAGTACAGAAAATGAAAGTCCGTTGAAAATCAAAAATTTGAAAAAATTAAAAAATTCATGAGCATTGAAAAATATGTTGCTTATAAAAAACCTGACGAAGGTCGTGAAGATTTTAACCCTGATGCTTCAACTATTTCTACGAATATGTCCAATAAAATTGGAGAACCTTCAACAATACTCAAAAATAATTGTATAACTTCATTGCAAATTGAAGTAGATAATGAACCAGTTATTTTAAAAGAATCGAATGATTTATCGGAAGATTTTTTACAAGAAACACCTAATTTATTGGATTGTGGAAATTGGCCAATTGTTCGATCTAGCAACTTTGTGAACCATTTAATCAAACTTGCTCCTTTTCAAATTACAAAGGAAAAATACCCTGAAGATAGAAATGGTCGACATTTTTCTAGCATTTACTACAATAGAAAGCTTGCGAATGGAGAAACCTTTTGCCGTAGATGGTTGGTTAATTCAGATAATAATTCAAAGTCAAACTTAGTCTATGATGGTTTCAAGAAATGGAGACATTTAACTGAAACATTGGGAATTCATAAAAACAGCGTCTCTCATATGAAATGTTATCAACAGTAGGTAGAAACTGAAATAAGATTAAAAACTGGAAAAACTATAGATAATGAAGAAATTAAAATTATAGAAAAAGACAGTTTGCGATGGCAAAATGTTCTTCTTCGGCTGATGAATATCACTCTTTACCTAGCTGAAAATAATATGGCTTTTCGAGGGAGTTCGGATAAACTGTTTACGCCTCAAAACGGCAAATTCTTAGGACTAATACAGATGCTTGCAAAATTTGATCCTGTGATGCAAAAGCATTTAGCACTTGCAATAAAAGGTGACACTTCAGACCATTATTGCGGGGAAAATGTTCAAAATGAGTTAATAGATTTAATGTCTCAAAAGGTTAATGATGAAATAATAAACCGAGTCTTGAAAGCCGTTTACTATTCAATCATTGCTGATTGTACACCTGATATTTCTAGAAAAGAACAACTTTCTCTTACTATTCGAATTGTTGACTTGTTATTAGACATTGGAGTGGAAATTAAAGAGTACTTTTTAGGATTCTTTTCTGTTTCTGATTCTACAGGCTTAGGATTTACTGAGGTTTTAATCGAGTTGCTAACTAAGCATGGACTTGAAATCTCTAACTGCAGAGGTCAAGGGTATGATAATGGATCAAATATGAAAGGAAAGATTAATGGTGTACAAAAAAGGATTTTAAATCTTAATCCTTTAGCATTATATGTTCCTTGCGGCAACCATAGCTTAAATTTGGTAATAAGTAACTCTGCACGGTCTTCAGTAAAATCTATAGCTTTTTTCGGTATTCTTCAGAGATTGTTTACTCTATTCTCAGCTTCAGTGAGCCGATGGAAAATTTTAATTGATCATGTTAAAATTTTGCATTTAAAGAAACTCTGTGACACGCGGTGGGAAGCAAAAATAAGTAGTGTTAAAGCCGTTCGTTATCAAGTTGGTGATGTACATGACGCTTTGATAGCATTGTCAGAAATTGAAGGATGTAATCCTGAAACTGCACATGAAGCGATAACTCTAGGAGAGCAATTAAAAGATTTTAGCTTTCTTGTCTCTTTAATTGTCTAGTATGACGTTCTTTTTCAAGTCAATATTGTTAGTAAAACTCTTCAAGAAAAAGACATGGACATCACTCAATGTGCAAAGTTATTGAAAAGCTGTTGTTCATTTTTAGAAAACTATAGAAAATGTGGTTTTAAAGATGCAATTATAAAAGCAAAGGATTTGGCTATAGAATTACAAGTGGAGCCTGTTTTTAAACCACTTAAAAGAATAATACTAGTGAAACGCCATTTTGACGAACCAGCCCAAGATGGGATTTATTTATTTTCTCCTGAAAAAAAATTAGAAATCGATTTCTTCAATCCCCTTTTAGACACATCTTTAATTTCAATGAGAGAAAGATTTATACAGTTGGAGAATTATTCCGAAGTTTGGGGTTTTTTGTATAATGTCGATAGTTTGCAAAAAAGAGAAGAAATTCTAAAATCATGTTGAGCTCTTCAAAGTAAACTTACCGTAAATCTAAAATCGGACATTAATGGTATTCTCCTTTGCGATGAACTGATGAGCATTAAACCTTTTCTTTCTGAAATGGTCAAGGATAAAATTACTCCTATTATTGTTTTAAACTTTATAAAACAGCACAAAATGCAAGATTTGTATCCAAACACATGGATTGCAATACGAATTTTGCTAACAATACCTGTCAATGTAGCGAGTGGAGAAAGAAGCTTTTCCAAAATGAAACTAATAAAAACCTATCTGCGGTCAACAATGTCGCAGGATAGACTTTCAAGTTTAGGAACTCTATCGATTGAAAAGAATATTGCTGAAAATCTTGATTTTTCAACCCTAATCAAAGATTTTAGTGATAAGAAGGCTCGTAAGATTAATTTAAAAAATTAAATGTATTTTGTGTATAACATAAATAAAAAATGTTTCGTTGTATGTAGCGTTTTATTGCAAAGTATTATTTTTGAATTCGATTTGTTATTATTTTCCAAGTAATTTACCAGCACGTTTATAAAATTTTCAGGGGCGGCAGGACAAATTTCGCACGAGGGCGGCAAAAAGGCTAAGGCCGGCACTGGTTGTAATCAAAAATAAACTTCAATAATTAAAATGTTTATGAATTTAATTTATTAACTTTTAATATTTTTTTTTATTATATTTTATAATATTTACATAGTTGTTTGAATATTATTATTATAACTCGTAAAATACTTTTTATTCATAGTAGTACCAGTCTTTACATTCCTGGAAGTCTTTCAATAATAAAACTGTTGTAATCAAAAATAAACTTCAATTATTAAAATGTTTATGAATTTAATTTATTAACTTTTAATATTTTTTTTTATTATAAGTTATTTTACTTAATAAAAAGTTAATAAGTAAAATAATAAAATTATTGTTAAGCTAATAAATTTTTTTTTTATTAATTTAATAATAAATTAATAATATGTAACCAAGTAAAAAATTTATTAAAAATATTTAATGAAGTTACAATACAAGTATACAAAAGAAATGCAGAACAAAATCCAGAAATAAAACATAACTTTGAAATTCACGAATACGAAATAAAACAGAAAAAAAAACACAAAACAAAAATATAAAAGTAAAAATAATAATTAATATAAAAAATTATGAAGATCTAATAATTAAAAGATAAAACTTTAAACTTCAAAAACTTTAAAGCATTTTTTTTTCTCACAAAGTCTGCTTACCTAAGCCAAATAAAATAAAAAGTAATATTTCGTGTGTTTAAATATCCTAATAACACAATAATGTAGAATACACATAAACTGATGTTTAGCCAGTTACAAGTTGCAAGTTAAGATTTTTGTAAACATTTTTTCATTTTGTTTTATATATAACCTATTTATACCTACTAATAAATATTATTTTTACGAAATATGTTTTATTAACTATAAAATTTAAAAAAAAAATATTTAAATGTCAAGTGACAAATAAATAAAAATATTTATAACATTTACGTTTTAACATACAAGATAAAGTCTTAAAAAATAGTTTGTTTTTTTAATCAAATAATAAAAAAACTCTTTTAGTTTTAAAAGATTTTTTTTTATTATTTGAAAACCATGTTTATTTCAAACTTTTACAAAAAAAACTATGAGAAAGTCCATAAATGTTTGCGCGCTTCCTTAGTGAAAGGCTTGAATTAGTCTTAAAACTGTTAACCAGTATTCTAACTAGTTTTTTATCTTTAAAATCCTTCTTTTTTCCACCACCAGATTTACGTTTGATCGATTTTGTTTGAGAAAGACGTTGGATTACACGACTAACGGTGTATGGATGTATTTGCTACGCTTTTGCTACCGAGTTATAGTTACTATAGGGATTTTCCAAATATTTGTGCATAGTTTTTTTCTTATATCTTCTTCTTTTGTCAATTTTCAAACTAACTTTAAGTTAAATCAAAAATCTATTACATTTTTTTGAAGCCACAACACGTTGTAAACAAAATACAAAACAATTAAAAAGATTTTATTATAACCACTGAAAAAAAATGACGTACTTATTATTTTACATTTCTTTCGTGTACACGCTTTACTATTGCCCCTATTTGACCAACCAAGTAATATTGCCCCCCCCCCCCCCCCACAATACGATTTTTGTTCCTACAGGCCTGGACCGAACCAAACGTAAAAATATTCCAGTCTACACGACATTTAGTTTTAATTGTCGCGCGAATAATTCCTGATGAAAGGTTTTTGGCCAAAAATTAACGCCGTGAAAAGAGTAACAAAATATAAATAGTTTTGAGCAACCCTCGGGAAACATATCATTAAAAAAAATGAGTACGCATCATTCATCACAGGTAAATAAATATACACTGATTCATTTACAATGTATAAATAAAATAACGTACATATAGTAGGAACTTTTTTCAGTACAAATAATAAACATAAAAAAGTAACGATGTTAAAAGAACGCGAAAAACTTGCAGAAGACCATGTGTTGCCATCAAGAAACCGCCTTTAGTTGCAATATTTTTGTATACTTAATTTATTAAACATTTTAGTTTAGCAAAGTCTCATGGTGGCATTAGAATCACATATAAAAAGCTGTTAGACAACCAAAAAGAGAAAAGAGCTGTATTTGATACTCAAATATATAATTACATGGCTTGTTACACTTAATATATTGACATGTACGAAATACGAATAAGATCTAACAAACACTTTGCTTTGAAGTTAATTTTTTAGGTTTTTTTTTTAGTTATTAGTTTTAACATACGTTCGTAAAATTGTTTTAAACAATTTTAAAACAATTTTACGAATAGAAAATACTATTAATAAAACTTGTTCTAGACATAAACAATTTGTTTATGTCTAGAACAAGTTTTTTTAATAGTATTTTCAGAGAATTTGGGTAATATAATTATGTAATTGTAGTATTTTAAGATATTATTTTGTTGTAGAAGTAAGGGCCGCGATGCAATATAGAGATACGTCGTAGTTTTTTTATTTTATTTTGTACATTAAAATTTCCTGTTCCTCGAGTATCATATCTGTTACTATTGCATTTGAAAAACTCTTGAAAAATGTGATGGGAGAAGTCCAAGTTAATATTTAAGCATGAACAGCAAATTTTGATAGATGATAAATTTATAGACGTTTAGTGCATTAAGAAGTTTTAGCAGAGGTTTAGTATGAGTAAACTTATCTTTGTTAAAAACTTTTCTTGCAGCATGTTTTTGATGTTGACAGAGTGCCACTAGGTTAGATTTATGGATACTTGCCCATGCTATATTAACTTACGCATAACAGGTTTGAATAATAGAGAAACTAAATTGCTTTAGATTTTTTGGGGTAATATTGGTCTAGCTTTGTACAGCATACAAACGTGGTTTCTTATTTTGAAAACGTGGTTTCTTATATTTAAAAGGTTTATGTGGGTTCTCCATGAAATATTCTCATCACTTAATATGTTTCTTTTCAGAAATCAGATATTCAATGACTGTGAATGTCATATTGAGCATTAGAAAGTATATTGCATAGGCCATAAACCTTGCATTGTGATACGCCAAATTCAACAAGATGCCTACAGTCATTCCTAAAATATTCTTAACTTTATTTAAAATCTTTTAAAAAAAAAGTATACTTATGGAAAAACTAATTCATTTTATATTATTGTTACATACATGATTTTTTGTTCTATTGCTTTAGTTACAAACTTTTTAGACCTTTAAATAGAGTTTGCAGAGATCACTGCCAACAATAAGATCTTGCTCAGGAAATCGTTTGAGCTTTTCTACAGCACCATTGGTTGAAACTTTTGTATAAAATTCTGTTATCCATTTCTTCTAAAAATCTTTTAGCAACTTATTTGCAAGGGCTTTAGACGTTTCCTTTGAAACTTACTCAAAAGCCCTAGTAATATTTATCTCGGCAATATGGTGTCTATACAATAACCAAAGAAACGGTTTACAGAAAAATCTTGCCATAATAGTTATTGCACCGGATTTCCCTCTAGTTACTTACTGTGGGGTCAGAACCCTACCTAAAAGTCACAAATTTCTAAATATTCTAGGAGATTCATAATACTTATAGCCATATTGATTCCCTTACCATTATCAGTTGCCTCAACACTAAGTAAAAGATCATCTTTGGTTTCAAACTCTGGGCTAGTTACAGTCACCGATAGTCTATCTGCAGTAGTTGCCTGTCTAGTGTCCTCCTCAATATGCTTTAAAATTTTACCATCAAAATGTAAAACTATTAAATCAATATATTCGTTACGTATCTGGCCTTCTTCCTCTTCTAAAAATCCCTAAAATCGCTTTCTGACAGATTCTCTGCTTAACTTTGGTTGTTTAACATCTCCTCCTAAATATTTTACCACGCTTGCAATAAAATCTCGAATGCTGAGACCGGCCCTTATACTGGTGGAAGTTATTGCTGCAATGAGACCTTCACTGGTTATCTCTCTTTTTTTTTTCTTTTAATTTGTTATTTAGGTGCCCCAAGAAGTCCTAACGGTCTTGTCACAGAGCACCGCGGAAGTGCATTTAACCAGGAAATTCGCATCTTCTTCCTTACCGTGACGCAAAATATGTCCAAAGCTCGTTCTTACAAAGCAAGCGCTCTAAACACAGCGCCACAAACGCACAAATCTCTTTTTCTACTCTGAAGTATGCTGGCCTAAACTGATGCCTACTTTTTGAGCTTGCTTCATGAAAGTTAACATTTTTATTTGGGATAAAAACTTCCAACTCAGCAACTACACTTCCAGAATCTAAATTAATACAAAGATTTTGAGCTCATTTTTACCTTTACTTTAAAAAATTAACAATTTTACCTAAAATACCCGTGCAAAAAAATTGTTTATACTTTCTCTTTTTATTTAATCAAAAGTTGAAACATATGATGTGTTAAACAAATTATACTTTAGTATTACCTAATTGTAATTTAGCTCTTTTTTTTAGGTTCTGTAGGTTCCTCATTTTCGAAATTAAAATCTATATCATTGTTAGGAAAAAAATTATGAGTCAATTGCCTTTTTTTTACAAATTTTCTCTCTATTATCACAAATTATTGAATCGTTACTCTTCTGTGCTCGATCTTTGTATTCGTCTTTCCTATTGCATCTATCAATCTTTTTCTGAAACCTTGCTTCAAGCTCTGTGTCAATTTTAGAAGATATGATTATATTTCTGTTAGTTCTGTGCAAAAAGTTGTTAAAACACTTAGCGTAAGATAAATTTGAATAAAAAAACAAAATTTCGTAAAAAAATATTTTTTTATATTTGGAAAAAAATTAGTTAATAATAATTGAAAAATCGGTTAAATCTTCGCAAAAACATTTAATCAAAAAATACCTTTGATAATCTAAGAAGTCTTTTCTTAGATAATCAAATTGTGTTAATGTCAAACAATCGCTCTACCATATTGTAAAAGTCATTTTTATGGCATTCGGAAATTTGCTTTTTGATTTGAAAGGTTTTACTATTGCACAAAATTTTGTATTAGAGATTTAAACTTTTTCAATATTTTAATCTCAGAAATCAAGTAATTACTGAAACCAGCAGACTTCCAAATATTTACAATTTGTCGGAGTAAACAGTATTTTTCGATATTTGAATTACAAAACTCGTCTTTTCCTTTCCATATATCTTCAAGTAAATCAAATAATTCTTCAGTAACTAGCACTTTTTGCTTAATAGAATGCAATAGTGACGATGCGCTTTTAGAGTTTTTTTAATTTCCTCGACATTGTGAACCAAAGTTGCTATTAAATTAAATACTGTTTGCAGGTTAGCAGTTTGACTTAAACTGAAGCCTAAATAAAAAAAGATATTACAATCTTTAAAAGCGTAATAACACAGTTAAAGTTTTACAAATCTATAACTATTACTGTAAGGTTTACAGAGATCACACAGAAAAAATATATCAAAATTCAAGGATATTCCAGGACAATTTTCTAATTTTTTCAGGATATTTGACAAAAAATTCAAAGACTTTTCCAGGATAATTCCGAAAAAAATTAAAAAATTCCAGGACTTTCCAGGATTTTAGCAAAACAAATAAATTCTGCTAAAGTTTGGGGATTTTAGTTAAACAAAAATTTCAAATTAAAAAAAAATTTCATTGGAAATAAAGCTTAAATAAAACTTATTTAAAGTCTCCTAGTATAAAATTTTAACCATGACCCGTTCTTTTTATACTCTTCATACTCTATATTAACTATATATTTAACTGCAATACTGAATTTTACATATTTGCTGAAGACATTCTTGCATACATTGTTGGTGACCTAGCCCGCTCAACTTTACCACAGGAAATATGCGACAAAGTTAATAACTGGTGCATTAAAAACAAAATGTTATTAAACACAACAAAATGCAAAATCATGAGCATAGCTAGTAAGAAACTCGATACATGCCCACAACTAATTGTTTCCATCATCTCTAAAGCTCTCGAATATGTAACCTCATATAAATACCTAGGATTAGATTTAAATATTGAAATTAACACCGACCAACAATGGCATCGCATCAAGCCCAAATTCTCCGCAGCTCAGTACCTAATTAGAAGTCTAACAAAACTAGGCTTTCATAGCGAATTACTATTAACAATATACCGAAGCATTGGACTTAGCCAATTGATCCATAGTGCACCATTACTTTGTTCAAGCAGTATCAAAAAAAAGCACGAAATACAGCAAATACATCTAAAAACGCTTAAATTCATAGGTATTAGTCTAGAAATCGCCAGAACAAAATATAACATTGAAAACACCGACACATATGTTGATATAATACGTTGTATAAAAATCTTAAAATTCTACGAAACCCAAATCATCCACTAAACATTAAGACAAAAAATAAATCTAAAATAACAAGACAAAATATCAACTTCGGGTTCAAGATAGCTACTGCAAATACGGCTTACAAAAATTTTATTCAAAAATTACAAAAATTTTATTCAAAGAACGTTGTGTCTTATAAAAGATGGAAAACTAGTGTACAAGTGTACACTAGTTAATCAAAGCAACTACAAATTTAACTACCAAAATATGTGTGTATATACATATGAATGTGTATATGTATAAAAATTCTGTAATTTCTAAATTTTTAAACCATTGAATTTAAATAAAAGATATATATATATATATATTAAAAACATATGACACCAATGTTACTTGAAAATAAGACAATTCTTTTTTTGAAGAATATATTTTAAAAATTCCAGGACTTTTCCAGAATTTTTTAGAAAAAATGAAAAATTGGAAGACTTCCCAGGACACTAGTCAAATTCCAGGACTTTCGAGGACTTTCCAGGAGTGTGGGAACCCTGTGTTTAACAATTTATCACTCAGAGCAAAAAAAAATTATTAATAATTTTTAAAACATTGGTATATAGCCCATTCAAGAAATGGCTCATATTAAAAGAAACTAAAAATACAGGACAAATACTAATATAAAAAGATTACATTAGAATACAACAATATTTAACTAAGCAGTTTAGTTTTTACGATAGGGGATTACCTGCAATAGTAGAACTTAACATTGAAAATGGTGCTGCCCTTTCAGCAGATGAAGCAATAGGAGGTGAAAATTGTTCACTATTCTATATGTTGAAGTCATTAGAATGTTCATCACTAATCGAAATGGTAATAAAGCTAATTACTTATATACATTTTTTTAGTTATCAGCATATTACTTTTTTATTTATTTAACATACAATTTATTTTTATACAATTTATTTTTATTAATTTTTGCTGCAAAAAACAGTAATCGACGATTGAATACTGGGTCAAATCATTATATTTCAACCAATTTTGAGAAAACTTTGTGGGGCACCATCTCTGATTTCCCTGATTTTTACATATCATTATCTACATTATGTAGATAGGTTAAATTTGAAATTTCAGACTTCCAAGTGCAACGGTTAAGAAAATATAGCTTCATAAACACTGCGCAGTGGCCCCCCTCGATTTAAGAATTGTAAAAACAGACTACTTTAAAGCCTCATAATTTTTTTCTAACTTTCAACAAGTGTCTCATTTTTTCTAGAAGTGTTTTCTGGGTAGTTCTGTGTTAAAAATACTGGTTTTTGTTGACTTGTATCATATTAGAAAAAAATTATAGCCTCCTCAACTTCGAAAAAAGTTTGAAAAATGCTGAAAAAGGCCAAAATGAAATTAACTGTAGTACTTTTCTATTCTGCAACAAGTCCCTACAGTTTTGTTTTCTGATTAGCTAATCTTATCTACAACTAACAGGCAAAAAATAAGCCGCTTGTTGCAATTTTTATTAAAAAAAAGTTGTGAAAAACTGTACAAATTTAAAGTACTTTAAATTTGTACAGTTTTTTACAACTTTTTTTTAATAAAAATTGTTTAATAAAAAGTTCAATTCAAGTTTTCACAACTTGTAAATGAATTATCATGACATTTTTTTAGAACATTATATTAAATAATATATAAATAAATCCTGGTGTACACGCAAAGAATGAAACTCGCTGTTGCAACTGATCGTCAACTCTGGATTTGCTGTTTGATGGCAGCTTGCAGGGTTGCTGTGGCTTTTGAACAAGAGCAAAATTGACAAACATCTTATTTCTTTTAAAATACAAAAATAATCTTGAATAATTTCCACAGGTACAATAAATATAACATAAATTTCTATAAAAAACAAATAAAGCAATTTTGTAAAAAAAAAATACTTTGGTTCTAAACTATACAATTGATCATTTTCAGATTTCTCGTTTTTCGTTTCTTTCTCGTAACTGATTTTTGTCACTCTAAATCAATATAAAAATTTTGGGACTTTTAAAAAAAATACTTTAATGTGTCATTAATATATTATAAACTTCAACACGAAATTAAGCTATGTGCATTTGTATTGTATTTGTATTTGTAAGATATATATATATATATATATATATATATATATATATATATATATATATATATATATATATATATATATATACAGTTAAAAACATAAATGGAAGGTCATTAGATATGGAAAAGTCAAAGCAAATTTTGCAACTGGATGCGCTTCTTGGTATTGCCCTGATCTCCAGATCAAGAAAATATGTGTTACGATACGACTAAATTTATTACCATTTATGAGTTCCTTTCCTTTAACCCATAATTGAAGAAGATACTTTATAATAAGAGTTTTCTTTCTTCTATTTTCTCTCTTTTCTTTCTCTTTTCTACAAATACTGTAATGAGCGCTGTTCTAAAGAGGTAGTGTCTCTTGTACCAACTACTAAAATTCATTTTTGTGTTACACGTCATTTAATTAAGTCTCATCCTTTTTTCGTGACTGTTCCCAAGTGCTCAAAAAATACTAGTTTTTCTCCTCAAACATCAGTTCTTTAAAATTCAATCCCTTCCTCTTTTTAACCTGAATCATATAATTTGCAACTTTTCTAGTCGTCTATTAATCATTATCTTGCTCTATAACCCTAGTCTTTTCACTTCCAATAACTTTCAACTCGTGGTTGTTGCAGCCTTGTTGGTAGTAAATATGTTTGAAAATAAAATAATAAAAATAAAAGACAAAACTTTTTTAAGTAAAATTATTGCGCAAAATTTTAAATAAAATGTTTTGATTTAATCTACACTAATAAGCAAAAAAAATTATATAATAACCAAAAATTTATCAGATTAAAAAAACGTTATTAAATGCCTACCGTCTTTTTTTGTTTTTCTTGAAAGTTCCTGAACTTTCTTATATCTCTTCAAATGCATTTTCTAAACTAGATGTGTCTTGTAGTAGATTATTCCCACCTCCAGAATTATTCCATCCCCTATGAAAAACTCAAAACGAGATTGCGCTTTCGGGTTATAACTGTTAGAAGTGTACCTAAAACGTCCGTACTACCTTAGTAAACATAAACAAAGAGAGAAAAACGTTTAGATGACAAGAATTTTAGAAATAAAGTTTACATAAAAGTAATATAAGAACGACGATATAAGAAAGTGTTGTAATGATAGAAAATAAACAACTATATACTAATTAGTTATTTATTTGCATGAAACTATTTTACAAATACTTTTATTATATAACAGTATATGTAAAAGTAAAATTCAGACAGATATAAATTATATCTCTCTGAATTAATACCTCTCCTTTATAAATCGCTCAATGTAAGACAGTCTGATCTCTATTACAGTATAATGATTAAAATTCTACAACTATAAAATATTTAATAATTAGTTGATAGTTGTATAATTTCTGTTTAAACTGAATAAATTAGTTATATAATTATGTAAAATTAATTTACAAATATCTGTCTGAATTATACCCTCCCCCTTAGTAAATTACTAAACTTGCCTCTGAATTATTTCCTTTTTCCTAGCTAATCATTTTATAAAAGATGGTGTGGTAATGGTATTGAATGATGCAATAAATAGTGAACAACTATAAACTTTTAGTTATATATTTAATTGAAAATACTTTAAAAAAATACATCTTCAAGTTTCAAAATTATTACCTCCCCTTAGTAAATTGTTTAAAGTAAGACTGTGTGATAATGGCATGAAGTGATATTAACCGGAATTATGCAGCTATATATCAATAAGTTATAAAATTATGTAAAAATGATTTACAAGTATAATGTCTGAATCATCACACCCCCCTAAGTAAATCATGCAATACAAAATGTTTGAATCTGGTATTGAATGATATAAATTATTTTTATATTTTACTGTAATTGGAAATTTTTAAAGCTTTTGATATTTGACTTGCAGGACTTTTGTTTTACAATAGGAACATAGAATAAAAGTGTTATGCTTATTTTAATTAGTAAAGTTATTAGTCCAACATTTTTAGCCTCATTTAAAGATATTGTGATGTTATATTGGTATTTGATTTTTTTCCAAACTAACGCATATTAATTTTCTGGTATGTATATATGTTTTTAAGTTCTATGTTTGCTATTTCATATGTTCTACAAAAACTAGCATTGATTTTTTTATATTTTCATTTAAAAAATTATTTGTTTAGTGCAAATTGAAAATTATTTCTTTATTTAATAAATTTTTTTTCGTCTATTTGTTTTAGTTCGACGACAAGGTTCTGCTCTACTTCATTTTTTATTACAGTTTAGGTAATGAAATTGAATTCATTGCCATTAAGGTAAGAATAACTTTGTTCTTTGGTCACACCATTAAACAGTTTTTTGTATTTTATTATTATTATGTCATTTCTATTTTGTGTAAATATATTATATTTTCATGGCAACATAAGTATATATTATACTTAAAGTAAAAGGGGTATTATACTAATACTAACATCTATAAATAAACCTATTATTAGTTTATTAAGTTTCAGTAGTGGTGTAGTGGTAAAGCTACATAAGTCCAAAGTAGTACAACATTCAATTCGTTTCTTGGCGCAGAGGCCTTGTTTGTCAAAGTTTGTGTTTAAGAGTTATTGAAAGAGGGTTTTAACCACAACTAAAAGTTGCTTCCTTAACTGTATTTTAAAAAAATTATCTTTATTGGAATTACAAGATTTAGCATAAGATAAAAACCATACTCTGCTATAGGTTTATAGTTTTTTCTAAAGTCAGTGCTTGATTTACTTTAACTTGTTGCATGATTTTGGTTTAATAATTTAATAAAATCTCTAAAAGTGAGAATGTTTATCATGGGCTTGGGGTAATGGTAACAGTCTAAGACCAAAGTATTGGATTTCCTTTGCACTTTTGCTGTTTTTTTCTTCTTTTACGCTGCAATATTTTGATTTAAAGTGTTTTGTTAAATAAATAGTGTTTTGTTAAATAAAAATCTGTCTTTATATGGAATACTGTTGCCATATCTCAGGAGAGATGGATCGGGAGAGATAAGGAGGGGTGGATCTTAAAATGATATTCTTTTCCTTCAGACAAGGTACAAAAACACAATGTAAACATAGTTGGACCTGGTCTTGCAAACCTTTTACCATTATCACATGTAATGTTGCTTCTTTTTCTCAATTCTACAAATACTCATGCTACTCCTCATTCCATTAAGTCTTATCCTTTTTCTGTGACTGCTCCTAAGTGCTCCTAAAAACTCTTTTGTTTTCTATTTTGATTCATATAATTTCCAATCTTTAAAGTCATATGTCAATCGTTATCTTGCTTTATAAACTTCATCTTATTCCAGTAACTTCCAACTCTATTAGTGGTTGATTGTAGCCTTGTTGGAAGCAAAGATATTGAAAAAAATGTGTCCTTTCTATTGAAGCGAACTCTTTTTGGCAAGAGATGTTATTAAACAGATAACCAGCAATTACCTAATTTAAAACCTGTTTAAAAATAAGTAATTTACACAAAATGAGCTTTTTTTGTGTGTGCTTTTTACCTTTTCAAGGCTATAAAGGCTGCTACAGTTAAGGAAGCAACTTTTAGTTGTGGTTAAAACCCTCTTTCAATAACTCTTAAACACAAACTTTGACAAACAAGGCCTCTGCGCCAAGAAACGAATTGAATGTTGTACTACTTTGGACTTATGTAGCTTTACCACTACACCACTACTGAAACTTAATAAACTAATAATAGGTTTATTTATAGATGTTAGTATTAGTATAATACCCCTTTTACTTTAAGTATAATATATACTTATGTTGCCATGAAAATATAATATATTTACACAAAATAGAAATGACATAATAATAATAAAATACAAAAAACTGTTTAATGGTGTGACCAAAGAACAAAGTTATTCTTACCTTAATGGCAATGAATTCAATTTCATTACCTAAACTGTAATAAAAAATGAAGTAGAGCAGAACCTTGTCGTCGAACTAAAACAAATAGACGAAAAAAAATTTATTAAATAAAGAAATAATTTTCAATTTGCACTAAACAAATAATTTTTTAAATGAAAATATAAAAAAATCAATGCTAGTTTTTGTAGAACATATGAAATAGCAAACATAGAACTTAAAAACATATATACATACCAGAAAATTAATATGCGTTAGTTTGGAAAAAAATCAAATACCAATATAACATCACAATATCTTTAAATGAGGCTAAAAATGTTGGACTAATAACTTTACTAATTAAAATAAGCATAACACTTTTATTCTATGTTCCTATTGTAAAACAAAAGTCCTGCAAGTCAAATATCAAAAGCTTTAAAAATTTCCAATTACAGTAAAATATAAAAATAATTTATATCATTCAATACCAGATTCAAACATTTTGTATTGCATGATTTACTTAGGGGGGTGTGATGATTCAGACATTATACTTGTAAATCATTTTTACATAATTTTATAACTTATTGATATATAGCTGCATAATTCCGGTTAATATCACTTCATGCCATCATCACACAGTCTATCAAATCTGATACTTTTGACGGTGGTCGGTCTGTTTTAATAGGATTAACGCTTAATATCTCATAGTTTATATGGTCGGAAGGATGGTAGGTCGATAATGAATTTATAACAGATTCGTATTACCATGGTATGCTAATCCGATTATAGGGGTATATATACTCCTTCGTTGTATGATCAGTAACAATGTTTCTTATGTTATTAGCTCTTTTGTCTGTCACGCATTGTGATTGGTGTGGTAGAACTGCGTGCAAATCTTTGTATTATGAATGCGTGGATCATAATTTATTTGCATGTGATTTGTGGAATATATGTGGATGCACTGAAACTATTCAATTTTCAGATGGGCGATGATTATTACTTTCAAATCCCTCAGGGGTTCAACAAGAATCAAGCTCAGTTTAAGCAGAGCAAGGTAAATCCTAAAAAGTCTTTGCAAGTGGCCCCTGGTTGGAATAATCAGATATTTGGTGTGAACGAGAAGAATTTTAAAAATAAAGAAGTTGCTCGTATTGCTGAGTCAGTTGTTACTGGTCTTACAGGTGCTATAAATCCTAAGACTGTTGTAAATGTTGCTAAGAATGTTAAAACTGTTGCTGGTTTAGCTAAAGAGACTGTTCCATATATTCATATGCCTAATGTAAGGAAGATTTTAAAATCTGCTATATTACCTAAAAATAATATTAGTAGAACGGAATACATAGCTCTTAAGGAAATGGGTAAAACGCGGCCTACTAATATATTGGAGGATATGTTATATTCTGAATCAGATTGGTCTCGATCTTCCTCCTCCAATACTAGTTCTGTTAATTCAACGTCTACCAAGATTGGTAATATTACCGATATGAGTACTGTTTCCGAAAGTGTTGAAGGTTGGAATTATGATCCTGATTATCAGCCTGTGCCTCAGGATGACTTACCTGATTATATGAGGCTTAAACCCGGACAAATGGATATTTATGAGCCTAAAGAAATTCCTTATATAAAAGAGGCTAAAATAGCTAAGCAGTTACATAAGTATAGTTTTGAACCTTATCAATTTCCTAAATTTATTAACGAGTTACCTAAGTATGCAACACATTGGAGCATTATGAAGGAGAGTGAGGCTATATTAGAGAAGTTGTTTGGTAATTATTCATTTGACATTGCAGATGCTTATGGTGCGGACACACAGAAGAATATTCGTTCATCCAAGAGGAAGAAACGGTTGGTCGCAAAGAGGATATCACGTAACTAATGGCAGAGCAACCCCCGAATCACGAAGTCAGCGCGTCACCCGATTTCGTTATCGAAAGAGGATTTGATTGCAGTAAAGGATATTATGATGAGTTTTGTGTTGAGAAAAATATCTACTGGTATTATGATTGTACTAATGACACAGTACAAAATATTTATTATTTTCCTGTTGATTATCCTAATTTATGGACTGACACTGATCAATATTTTATGGCAACCGGTGGTATTTATTATGTTGATAAATCAGTTGAATGCGAGGTAA